GGGGGACCTTGTAGAGGGGAGGGAGGGGGGGTTTGGAGTGGGACTTGAGGGGGGTGGGAGGGGGAGGGGGGAAGGGGGTTGGAGTGGGGGCACCCTTTGAAGGGGGGGGTTGGAGGGGTTGGAGTGGGACTTGTAGAGGGGGGAGGGGGGGTTGGAGTGGGATTTGAAGGGGGGAGGGGAGGGTTGGAGGGGGACTTGTAGAGGGGGTTGGAGCGGTGGGGTTGGGGGTTGGAGTGGGACTTGAAAGGGGGGGAGGGGGTTGGAGTCGGGACTTGAGGGGGGTTAGGAGTGGGATTTGAGAGGGGACGGGGGTTGAGTGGGACTGAGGGGGTATAGAGGGAACTTGAGGGGGGGGAGTTGGAGTGGAACTTGGAGGGGACTTGAGGGGGGGGGTGGACTGGGACTTGAGGGGGGGTTGGAGGGGGACTTGAGGGGGGAGGTTGGAGGGGGACTGAGGGGGGTTGGAGGGGACTTGAGTGGAGGGATTTGGAGTTGGACTTGGAGGGGGTTGAGTGGGATGAGGGGGGGGGGTTGGAGTGGGATTTGAGGGGGCGTTGGATGGGACTTGAGGGGGGGAGGAGGGGAAGGGTTTGGAGTGGGGACTTGAGGGGGATCTTGGAGGGGGGGAAGGGTTTTGGAGTGGGATCTTATTATCATTATCATTATTATTGACAAAAAAGGAACTGTTGTAGTATGATAATTATGATTATAATGATAGATTAATCAATAATGATGGTAATAATGCTAATAATGATAATAATAATAATGAGGATGATTATATAATTGAATGCAGAAATAGATTAAATGATGAATAATTGATAATGATAATAATGATAACAATGGTAATAATAATGGTAATAATGATAATAGATAATAGATAGATAAAATGATAGATGAAGGATGATTATGATAATAATGATTAATGAATAATGATAGTAATAATGATAATAATAATAATAATAATGGTGATAGACAGATACATAAATAATGATAATAATAATGATATTAATGATAATAAGGATAAAGATGATGACAATAATGATAAAGATAAAAAAATAAAGATAATAATAATGATACAGAATAAATAAATATATAATGGTAACAATAACAAACAAATAAATAGATAACGATAATGCAAACAATAACAACCACAATTAAAATTACAAAATTAAAAAGTCAAAAAATAATAACAGCCAGTGAGCGGTAACCCCGGCCACTCCTTGCACACAGGGGGAGATTTAGAAGCAAAATAAAACATGACAGTATGTCACAGCAAAGAATATCCATTCTAACAAATGGAATTAAATAAAACAAATAAAACAGACAGTATGTCCCAGCAAAAGAATATCCATTGTAACAAAGGGAATTAAATCTAGAATCTAAATCTAAATCTCCACTTTTGTAACAAATGAATTCAAATCTAAATCTAAATCCAAATCCAAATCCTCCACTTTTGTAACAAATGGAATTCAAAATCTAAATCTAAATCCTCCACTTTTGGAACAAATGGAACAAATGGAATTCAAACTAAATCTAAATCTAAATCTAAATCCTCCCCCTTTGTAACAAATGGAATTCAAAATCTAAATCTAAATCTAAATCGTGAATCCAAACCAAACCTAAATCTAAATCTAATTCCTCCACCACCTCCTCCTCCTTCTCCTCCTCCTCCCGCAGCTGCTGGTGTTCTCCGCCGACGTGAAGAGCCTGGGTCAGTTCAACGGCACTCGATCCCACAAGAAGAAGGTCAAGAGGATGATGAAGAGGCTGGAACCGATGGGGAACTCGTACCTGAACCCGGCGTACCACGAGGCTCTCCGGAGGGCCACGGGGTTCGATCGGAAGAACGTGGCCAGGAAGGTAAGGGTGGGGGTTGGGGTGAAGGGGTGGTTGGGTGGTGGGGGTGGTTCGGGGGTTTGGGGTGGTTGAGGGGTTCTGGGGGGGGGTTGGGGGTTGGCGGGTTTGGTTTTGTTTGTTTTTCGTTTTTTTTTTAATTCTTCTTTAGCTCTTTTATCGTTAGTTTGTTTGATTTTTCTTTCTGTTTCTTTGTTTTTCTGTTTTTTAATTCATATTATTTTTTTTTTTATGTTTTTCACCTTTTCTTCGTCTGCTTCATTCTTCGTTATCTTCCTTTTTCTTTTTTCTTTATCTTCTTCATTTTTCTTGTTATTTATTGTTATTTTCCATATTTTCTTCCTTTTCGTCTCCGCCTTCTCCGTCTCCCTCCTCCTCCTCTATTATCCTCTTCTCCCTTTCCCTTCCGTTCACAAGCACATGTCCCCCAAAAACCGTCCCTCCTCTTCCTCCCTCCTCTATCCTATTCCTCCTCCTCTATTATCCTATTCTTCCTTTCCCTTCCTTCACAACCACATGTCCCCCAAAACCGTCCCTCCTCTTCTCCTTCTCTATTATTCCTATTCCTCCTTCCTATCTCCTATTCTCCTTCTATTTATCCTATTCTCCTTTTCCCTTCCGTTCACAACCACATGTCCCCCAAAAACCGTCCCTCCTCTTCCTCCTTCTCTATTATCCTATTCCTCCTCCTCTATTATCCTATTCTCCCTTTCCCTTCCCTTCACAACCATATGTCCTCCAAAAACCGTCCCTCCTCTTCCTCCTTCTCTATTATCCTCTTCCTCCTCCTCTATTATCCTATTCTCCCTTTCCCTTCCGTTCACAACCACATGTCCCCCAAAAACCGTCCCTCCTCTTCCTCCTTCTCTATTATCCTATTCCTCCTCCTCTATTATCCTATTCTCCCTTTCCCTTCCGTTAACAACCACATGTCCCCCAAAGCGCGTCCCTCCTCTTCCTCCTTCTCTATTATCCGTATTCCTCCTCCTCTATTATCCTATCTCCTTTCCCTTCACAACCACATGTCCCCCAAAAGCGTCCCTCCTCTTCCTCCTTCTCTATTATCCTATTCCTCCTTCTCTATTATCCTATTCTCCATTTTCCTTACCCCTTCTCAAAAACCACATGTCCCCCAAAAACCGTCCCTCCTCTTCCTCCTTCTCTATTATCCTATTCCTCCTTCTCTATTATCCTATTCCTCTTCCTCTATTATCCTGTTCTCCCTTTCCCTTCCGTTCACAACCACATGTCCCCCAAAGCGTCCCTCCTCTTCCTCCTTCTCTATTATCCTATTCCTCCTCCTCTATTATCCTATTCTCCCTTTCCCTTCCGTTCACAACCACATGTCCCCCAAAAACCGTCCCTCCTCTTCCTCCTTCTCTATTATCCTATTCCTCCTCCTCTATTATCCTATTCTCCCTTTCCCTTCCGTTCACAACCATGTCCCCCCAAAACCGTCCCTCCTCTTCCTCCTTCTCTATTATCCTATTCCTCCTCCTCTATTATCCTATTCTCCCTTTCCCTTCCATTCACAACCACGTCCCCCAAAAAACGTCCCTCCTCTTCCTCCTTCTCTATTATCCTATTCCTCCTCCTCTATTATCCTATTCTCCCTTTCCCTTCCGTTCACAACCACGTCCCCCAAAAACCGTCCCTCCTCTTCCTCCTTCTCTATTATCCTATTCTCCCTTTCCCTTCCATTCACAACCACATGTCCCTCCTCTTCCTCCTTCTTCTATTATCCTATTCTCCCTTTCCCTTCCGTTCACAACCACATGTCCCCCCAACCGTCCTCCTCTTCCTCCTTCTCTATTATCCTATTCCTCCTCCTCTATTATCCATTCTCCCTTTCCCTTCCGTTCACAACCACATGTCCCCCAAAACCGTCCCTCCTCTTCCTCCTTCTCTATTATCCTAATATCCTATTCCTCCTCCTCTATTATCCTATTCTCCCTTTCCTTCCGTTCACAACCACATGTCCCCCCCAAAACCGTCCCTCCTCTTCTCTCCTATCCTCCTATTATCCTATTCCTCCTCCTCTATTATCCTATTCTCCCTTTCCCTTCCGTTCACAACCACATGTCCCCCCAAAAAACGTCCCTCCTCTTCTCCTTCCTATTACTATTCCTCCTTCTCTATTATCCTATTCCTCCTCCTCTATTATTCCCTATTCTCCCTTTCCCTTCCGTTCACAACCACATGTCCCCCCAAAACCGTCCCTCCTCTTCCTCCTTCTCTATTATCCTATTCCTCCTCCTCTATTATCCTATTCTCCCTTTCCCTTCCGTTCACAACCACATGTCCCCCAAAACCGTCCCTCCTCTTCCTCCTTCTCTATTATCCTATTCCTCCTTCTCTATTATCCTATTCCTCCTCCTCTATTATCCTATTCTCCCTTTCCCTTCCGTTCACAACCACATGTCCCCCAAAAACCGTCCCTCCTCTTCCTCCTTCTCTATTATCCTATTCCTCCTCCTCTATTATCCTATTCTCCTTTCCCTTCCGTTCACAACCACATGTTCCCCAAAAACCGTCCCTCCTTTCTTCCTTCTCTATTATCCTATTCTCCTTCTCTATTCAAACCACATTCCCAAAAACGTCCCCTCCTCTTCCTCCTTCTTTATTATCCTATTCTCCCTTTCCCTTCCGTTCACAACCACATGTCCCCCAAAACCGTCCCTCCTCTTCCTCCTTCTCTATTATCCTATTCCCCTTCTCTATTATCCCTATTCTCCTCTATTATCCTATTCTCCCTTTCCCTTCCGTTCACAACCACATGTCCCCCAAAAACCGTCCCTCCTCTTCTTCCTTCTCTATTATCCTATTCTTCCTTTCTCTTCCATTCACAACCACATATCCCCAAAAACGTCCCCTCCTCTTCCTCCTTCTTTATTATCCTATTCTCCCTTTCCCTTCCGTTCACAACCACATGTCCCCCAAAACCGTCCCTCCTCAAGCCCCAAAGAGGCACTGTCACCCCCCACTTTTTCCTCCCCAGGTGGTGATGGTGAGCGACGGGTGGGGCACGCTGGGCCAGACGGACCCCGAGGTGATCCGTGCCACCCTGAGGGCCGCCAATACCTTCAACATACCCATCTTCGGCGTGGTATTCGGACCCGACGCCGACCTGAGGTATGGATGGGGTCGGTTCTGGTGAGGTCGTTTTTTTTTTTTTTTTTTTTTTTGAAGTCGTTGAGGTTCTGGTGATGTTTTTTTTTTTTTTTTTTTTTTTTAAGGCGTTGAGGGGATGCCGTTGTTTTTGTTTTTTTGTTTTTTTGTTTTTTCTTTTGTGGGTGATATCTGTTTGTGTCGTGTTATTTACTATGAGTTTGACCACCTCGACACTATTTTATATACATATATGTGTGTGTCTGAGTGTGTGAGTGTGTGTTTGTGGTGTGTGTGTGTGTATGTGCGTGTGTGTGTGTGTGTGTCGTGTCTGCGTGTGTCTGTGTCTGTGAATGTGAATGTGTATGAGTGTCTGTGTCTGTGTCTATGTGTTTATATCTGGGTGTGCGTCGAGTGTAAGTTGTGCTTGCATGTGTATATGTCTATCCACGTGTCCGCGCACGCATAACACACCCAGGGCCCCTTGCAGACTGATCGAGCAGGTGAGTGCGGACAGCGGCGCGTGGGCCCTCAGAGTGTTCCCTCGGTCCGGAGTGAAGGAACAGGTCCGCCGGTTCTTCCAGGAGATCTCGTCGCCCCTCCTGGTGGATGTGGCGATGTCGTACCCGCAGGAGCAGATCTACGAAGAGCTCCCCGCGAGAGTCGAGCTACTTTTATTCGGGGAGCGAGGTGAGTTGCGAGAGACTAGGGAGAAGGGAAGAAGAAGAAGAGGGAGGAGAGGGAGAGGAGGAGGGAGGAGGGAAAGAGAGGGAGGAGGGGAGAGGGAGAGGAGAGGGAGAGGGAGAGAGGGAGAGGGAGAGGGAGGGGAGGGCGAGGGAGAGAGGAGGAGGGATGGATAGGGAGGGAGAGGAGGAGAGGGAGAGAGAAAGAGAGAAGTATTTCACTTTATTTTTCATGACTGAAATGTTAAAATACACCTACTTATATGATTTTTTTTCTCATGACTAAAAAGGATCACTTTCATTTCACGAATATTCCTAATCTCCTCTCTCCTCTTCTCTTCTCTCCTCTCATTTCTATCTCTCTCTCATTTATCTCTCTCTCTGCCTCTATCTATCTATCTGTGTGTGTCTCTTTTCTTTTTCTTCTTCCTCGTCTTATTCTTCTATTTCCATGACAAAAGGATATAACCCACTTCCATGATTTTCATAAATGAAAAGAATGTGACCCACTGACATCATATTTTCCACTATTCCTCTCATCCGTCCCCCTCCCCCTCCCCCCACCCATCCACCCAGCAGCGAATACCACATGAATCTCACATATAAATACAAATATCATGAGATATCACACGACCTCTCACGACCATAAGGGTGAAAATTGCCTCTCCCTTGCAGATGGTCACCGCCGGGGTCTTGGTCCCAAATACGCCCAATTTCCACCCTGTTGTGACCGGACGAGGTCGTTTCGGGCCGGAACGACTTGAGGTGACCCGGATCGACTCCCGGTACCAGAATATCGCGATGGGAGGCGTTGGTATCGTCTCCAGAATCTGGGCTTACCTGAAGGTGCAGGTAGGTGGAAGGGGCTGATTTTTTTTATTATTATTATTTTATTTTTTTTTTTTTATTATTATTATTATTATTATTTTTTTTTTTTTTTTTTTTTTTTTTTTTTTTAGTGTAACTGCAGGTAGGTGGAAGAGGCTGATTTTTTAAATTATTATTATTATTATTTTTTTTTTTTTAGTGTAACTACAGGTAGGTAGAAGGGGCAGATTTTTAATATTTTAATATATTTTTTTTTACTTTTACTATTATTATTATTATTATTATTATTTTGAGTGTGTGTAACTGTCGTATGTTTAAATAATAAGATCAACTACGAAAAAGTACACATTTATAATAGCCAGTGGACCTATTCTGAAAGTGTTTTTTTTCCGAATATACTAATGTGTGTGTCTGTAACTTGGCGGTTCTTTTTTCGAATATACTTGTGTCTGTGTCTGTAACTTGCCTGTTTTTTTTTCGAGTAGACATAAGTGTGTCTGTAACTTGCCTGTTTTTTTTGTTTTTTTTAATTATTATTCGAATAGACTTATGTGTGTCCGTTGCTGAAGCTTCCTTGTGTATCCTGCAGGATCTCTTGGCGAAGATGGCTGCTTCGGAGGACCCGTCTGTCATTGTGAGACTCCACTACACCCTGCAGGACTTGGCCACCAGAGTGAGTGGTCGTTGGGTGTAGGGGGTCGTGTGATGGGTGTTTCGTCTTGTTTCTCTTTCTCTCTTTCTTTTTGTCTTTCTCTCTTTTTCTCCCTCTTTCTATTTTTATTTTTATTTTTATTTTTATTTTTCTTTCTGTTTCTGGTTCTCTCTTTCTCTTTTTTCTCTTTCTCTCTTTCTCTTTATCTTTCTCTCTCTCTTTCTCTCTCTCTTTCTCTCTCCTTCTCTCTCTCTCTCTCTCTCCTTCTCTCTCTTCTCCTTTCTCTCTCTCTTCTTCTCTCTCTCTCTCTCTCTCTCCTCTCTCTTCTCTCTCTCTCTCTCTCTCTCTCTCTCTCTCTCTCTCTCTCTCTCTCTCTCTCTCTCTCTCTCTCTCTCTCTCTCCTCTCTCCTTCTTCTCCTTCTCTCTTCTTTTCTCTCTCTCTTTTTCTCTCTCTCCTTTTCTCTCTCTCCTTCTCTCTCTCTCTCCTTCTCTCTCTTTCTGTCTTTTCCTCTCTCTTTCTCTCTCTCTCTCATTTATTTCCCTGATCCCTTGCACAGAAACCTCTCCCTGAGTATCTGGGGTTACAGAATCACCTTTATTCCTGTTGTTTTGGTCAAGGTGAAGACAATCAGCCATTTTGTTAAAATTGTGGAAGGCCCGACCCAATGAATTTTCCTAAATACAGACGCAGAAACAAAGGCATATCTGTCTATATATATATCTGATAGATATACATTTATCTATTTGCCCGGTTGATATGAATGTCTAGACTGACAAATATGCATTTATTTCTTTATTTACGGTTGATATGCATGTCTAGACTGACAAATATGCATTTATTTCTTTATTTATGCATGTCAAGTATACGAATATTCTTTGGGTCGGACCTCGCACAATTCTAAACAAACCGGACGAATATCACCAATACTTTTGCTGATATTTTCTCACAAAAATATACTTTTCTGACAGTGATCTTCCAGATACTTTCAGGTACTTGTCCACATCACCCAGACGCTGAAAGTCTTAGCAACATACCTTTATTTTTTTTTTTATTAATCTTAAACAAAAGCGATAAAAAAAATCAATCACAGGTACTAAATGGAACCGCTAATCTTAGCAACATACCTTTAATATTTTTTTTCATTAATCTTAAACAAAAGCAATTAAAAAAATCAATCACAGGTACTAAACAAACCGCTAATCTTCACGCCACTTTTCCTAATCTTTTCCAATCACTAACTTGACTTTTTTTTCCAATCCTTTCCAATCACATGAACCAAATACTAATCCTCACGCCATTTTTTCCAATCCTTCTCCAATCACTCGAACCAAACAAAACCACTAATCCTACCCTGATTTGTTTCTAATCCTTGACAATCACACGAAATAAACAACCGCTAATCCTCATGCGATTTTCCCCAGTCCTTTCCAATCACACAATCTAAACAAAACTACTAATTCTACCCCGATTTTCTCCAATTCTTTCCAATCACACAATCTAAACAAAACCACTAATCCTCACGCCATTTTTCCCAATCCTTTCCAGTCACACAATCTGAACAAAACTACTAATCCTAACTTGACTTTTTTTCCAATCCTTTCCGATCACATGAACCAAACACTAATCCTCACGCCATTTTTTCCAATCCTTTTCCAATCACACGAACCAAATAAAACTAATCCTTCCCCGATTTCCCCCTAATCCCTTCCAATCACACGAACTAAACCAAACCCCTAATCCTCACGCGATTTTTTCCAATCATTTCGTCACTTTCCTAGGACAATTTTATTCCAATCTTTTCCAATCACACGAACTAAACCAAACCCCTAATCCTCACGCGATTTTTTCCAATCTTCTCCAATCACACGAACTAAACAGAACCGCTAATCCTATCCCGACTAATCCTCACGCCTTTTTCAATCCTTTACAGTCACACGAGATTTTCCAATCCTTTCTAATCACACGAACCAAACAAAACCATTAATCCTCACGCTCTTTTTCAATCCTTTTCAATCACACGAACTAAACCAAACCCCTAATCCTCACGCCAATTTTGTCCCAATCCTTTTGTCACTTACCCATTTTTCCCAATCCTTTCCAATCACACGAGCCAAACCAAACCCCTAATCCCCACTCCATTTTCCAATCTTTTCCAATCACACGAACCAAACCAACCCCCTAATCCTCACGCGATATTTTTCCAATCCTTTCGTCACTTTCCCACTTTTCCCCCAATCTTTCCAATTCACACGATCTAAACCAAAACCCTAATCCTTCACGCCATTTTTTTCAATCCTTCCAATCACACCGAACAAAACCAAACCAACTCCCCTAATTCCTCTACGCCCACTTTTCCCAATCCTTTTCGTCACTCTCCCCCACTTTTCCCCAATCCTTTCCAATCACACAAACCAACCCCCTAATCCTCACGCCACTTTTTCCAGATCCTTCTCACTTTCCCACTTTTCCCCAATCCTTCCAATCACCACGATCTAAACCAAAACCCCTAATCCTCACGCC